GTGTGTGCTTGTGTGTGTGCTTGTGTGTGTGTACTTTGCATGTGTGTGTGTGCAGACAGGTACACAGTTGCCACAGTGGGAGAACAGAAGTCAGAGGACAACCTTCCCACACTGGCCTCCCTTTGCCTGTCCTGCCCTTGTGTGAGAGTCTCTTCACTGCTGTGTGAGCCAGGCTCACTGCCCTCCAGATTCTGGAGGTCCTTCTGTTTCTCCCTCATCTTTCCGAAGGTGTTCTGGGGTTAGTGATGCTTGACTACAGTTTTTTGAGCTGGGTTCTCTGGGGCCCCCAACTCAGGTCATCAGTCTTGGCTTTTATCCACTAAATTCCCACCCCCGTACCACTAAAATTCTTAACTCAAAATTACAATTATTTTATACACACACATATAAAAAAAGAGTGAACCTGAACCTCCAATTCAGTGAAAATACTCTAAACCCAAGGAAATTTCATCAGGGCAAGAGATGGCTCAGTGGTTAAAAGCTTTTACAGAGTACCAGAGTTCAGTTTCCAGCATGAGTCAGACAGCTTAAAACTCCTGTACCTCCAACTCCAAGGGATAAGGCGCCTCTGGGCTGCACAGGTACCTGCACTAGTACACACGCGCACGCACACACACATGCACGCATGTGCGCACACACACTGAATAAGTGTTTGAGAAAGAAAATGTCACACCTGAGACTGGGACTTGATTTCCCAATGAGCCTCCATCTCTCCCCACTATGTGCTCTCCCCCCACTGGCTTAAAAAGTCACCCAGTTTCGTAAGTCCAGGTTATTGCTCAGAAGAAAAATTATAAAAGTTTTGAGTGAGGCAAATTTATAAAACACACATTAATTTTGTTTCTATATTTAAAATACATGATCAGGCTCCTACTTAAAAATTGATATGCCGCCGGGCGTTGCTGACGCATGCCTTTAATCAGAGGTGGGGAATCTCTGTGAGTTCGAGACCAGCCTGGTCTACAAGAGCTAGTTCCAGGACAACAGCCTCCAAAGCCACAGAGAAACCCTGTCCCAAAAAACCAAAAATAAATAAATAAATAAATAAATAAATAGAATAAATAAAATATAAAAAAATTGATATGCCTAGGCACTTAGAATTCCACACCACAACATTCAGTTCGAGGATTTATAGCCATTTTTTTTGTTGTTGTTGTTGTTTCCTATGTTTGGTCAAAAACAAGAGTTTTGAAAACTCGGGATTTTTTTTTTTCATTTTATTATGATTAAAAGTATCTAGGTTTCCAAATAACTGTATCCTACCCCTAACCTGACATGTGGGCATTGGAAGCCACGACAGAATGCCATCACTGACTCACTCCCAGCACTGCCCCTATTTCCCTGCCAAGCCCAACACTTCATTCCCTAGAATCAGCAGCTGGAAGCCCTTACAGGTCTCATCCAGACGAAATGCATCTTAGGGATGCTCTTCAATTTTGTTGCCAGAGTGGTGCCAGCACCATCATACCCCAGAGGCAGCACCTTTGTGCCTCAGCAGCTACTGTGATCTAAATATGAAGGGAGAAGATGGCCCCGTGGTCACACCAGCTCCACACATCTCCTAATACTTAAACAGCTGCAGCCACAACAAAATGCCTGCTGGTAACACGGCTCTGAAGGATCCTGCCTACAGGGTGAGGGATCTGAGGCGCAGGGCGGTCATTTTTAACACTGTGTAATAATGTTCACAACACTGAGCCCCCATTCTGCATCCTATTCCCTAGGGACCTCCTGCCCACTCGCTCCTTAACTCCCTGCCGACCACTCTGCTACAGAGAATGCTGGACAGCACTCAGAGAGCTGTCACATGTCCACTATTACAAACTGTGTCCCCAGTGAGTCACCACTGTCAGTCAACCTTAAATCCTCATGTCTCTATAATGTCCTACTGTTCACCACGCCCAACGTTCCCTAGGAAGGTGTGTACTGGCTTCTCCTCTGCCTTGGGTCACTCTTCTGATTTTATTTCTTTTCCAAGTCCATAGGTGTTTAAGGCAACCATTCTCTTGGGCCCCTTATTTTCTCCAGAGAGCATGCTGAGCTTGGCTTTTCTTCTGTTACTGTCACTCACTCACTGTTTGGTCATACACAACCCATGATTCTCTCTGAGCCTCCATCACTCAACCCCTCGTGAGCTACAGTGAGATGCCAGTCCATCTTAACCTGTCAGTGCTCTGCTGGTCTGTCCTAACCCCGTCCCAATACTCCCTCAGTATATGGTACAGGGTTAGAAGGCCAGTGTACTCTGGGGCCGGCAGCTGGGGCTGCCAGGAAACTAGAGTCTAACATGGGAAGGAACTCGAAGCATCAGTTGTTCTGAACCCTCTGTTTTAGTGCCAGAGAGGCTCGTGATTATCTCTCAGCAGATGTGGGAATAATCAGGTCTCCCAGGCACTTGCTTGTCCTAGAACTAGAATGTAAATGTCTTCCAAACCTAGTTGGAATGCATGAGACCAGAGTAAACTGTGATAGAGGGAGTAAAAATCTGGTTAGAATATATTAAAGCTATTTTCCTCCCTCTTAAAAAAAAATAAAGTCCCTATGGTAATAACATGAATTTTGAAGAGACACTTTACTGTAATGTGTGCACCATGTGACAGAGCTCTACACACAGTACTATCTAGTCACATAAAACATCTCAGATTGCATTTGTAAATAAAACATCAAGTCACAGAGCACATGTATTTACACTGATTTAGATGTCTCAAATCCCAGCACATTTGGGTCCACTTAGTAGTTCGTGTAACTTAAGATTTTACAGATACACAAGCAGAAGGACAAACAAGCATGTTAGAACGAGGGTTTAGAGAGCTGCTCAGACATTTTGGTATCTGCATGTCCTTGGCAACAAATAATGACACCTTTAATTGTTCAGTGGGAGCTTTTGTACCAGGATACAGCATAAGGAACACAGAGAAGGGAGATAGCTCAGCAACTACACCTTTTCCACTACTTACTCCACAGGACAGAGGATGTGACATAACCCCACGGGTATTATCAGTTTGTCCATTCTGGTCTGAAATGATGATTCTTGATTGGAAAAAAAAAAAACAAACTTTATGCTTTATAAATAACCAAGTCTTCCTTCTACATCTTCTAAAGATGAAAGAAGTCACTAATGTTTTTCTAAAAAAAGAAAGAAAAGCTCAACTTTCAAACTTTATGCTTTATAAATAACCGAGTCTTCCTTCTACATCTTCTAAAGACGAAAGAAGTCACTAATGTTTTTCTAAAAAAAGAAAGAAAAGCTCAACTTTGGTTCTAGTAAGTTAACAGTCTATTTTTAAAGACAGCTAATACATAGATTCGTTTTTTTCCTTTGAGAGCCGATAAAAGGATAAATGCCGGTCACAGTGCTTTCAGAACAGCTTTGAAATCATCAAGGATGCTGAAGGCTAAGACGCTGTTATCTAGAACTTAAACTCTCAAAAGCAACCTCCTCTTTTCCCAGCACACTGAGCAACCAGTGTGCTTGGCTTCATTTCCTAGCAACCATCTTAAGACACCATTTGGTTTTATCTCAGAAGACAAAAACAATTTCTGCCCTGCTATGGATTTTGTGGACCACACAAAGTTAAATTAGGGAGAGACTAAATCATGACACTAGACAGACACAGGCACACAATTAAGCGGATGCCACAAAGGGTGTGTCTGAGAACACAGAGTTGACTGAATCCGAGTCAGATTTCACCCTCGTGGACTTTAAGATGCCCTCGGCTATCACAGTCTCACTGGGGAAAAGCTTGACTTTCCCATTCTGCCCCGCTGCAGTATCCTTCAGGGGTTCCAAAAACACCACTCTTTTACCTCCCCTGCGTTCATCAGCTGAGGCATCGCCAGAGGGGCCAGGACTGAGAATGGAGGAATGGGCACTGCCTTGGTTCAGCACATCTTTCTGTCTCTTGGACTTACATTTGCATGGGCACGGCGTCAGGTACAGATACAGCAGTACCAGGACTATACTGGCCACGCAGGCTGCGAGAGTGGTAAAAGCCGTGTTAAATGCCTCATGAGCATGGGATCTGTTTATGGTGAAATTGCTCACATTTATCATGATATCCACAGTTTCATTTAACAGGCGTTGCCTATTCATTGCGATACAGGAATAAACTCCGGCATCCTCGAAGCCAGGGCTCTCTATAACCAGACTGCCATTGTAAAACACACGAAAGTTTCCCATGTCTTTATCAGGCTCCAGCAGTCTGTTATCGGGACCAACCCAGACAAAATCAGTATTTCCATTACCAGTCTTGCTGTCACAGTGGACAACCAGCCTTTCCCCGACCTGTGCCTCGTGAATAAAGCCAAGAGCATGGAAGGAGCTATTGATGACACTCTCAGAACAGTTCAGAAAGCTATCCTGGAGCAGGGACAGCTGATGGGAGTGTCTGGAGTCTGACCATAGGCGACAGGTATAGTCATTCTTAAAATCCATCACTGAGCTAAAGTGCCTACGGTACCAAAAGATCAGCAATGAGTACAGGGAGCAATCACAGATGAACGGATTTCCATGAAGGTAGATGCCCCTCAGCTGTTTTCCCGGCACTAAATTTATATGGTGCATTGGTATGGAAGGGATTCGATTATAAGAAACATCTAAAAATGTCAGATCGGCCAGCCTGAACCTCCCAACATACAAATCCATAGGAAACTGTGTGAGGAGGTTCCCACTCAAGTAGAGTTTCTGCAAGTGGGAGAGACCTCCAAAAGCTGCCGGGTCCAGATGGGAAATGTGATTGTTGTAGAGCAGGAGCACCTCCAGAACCTTCAGCTCTTGGAACACGGCACTTTTCACCGACTTCAGCCTATTGGATGATAAGTCAAGACACTTTAGATTTGGGGTCGTGGAGAAACTGCCCGTGGAGATACTGGTGATGTTGTTGTGACGAATAATTAGCGTGCTCAGCTTGACAAACGACATAGGAATCCAGTCGGCATCTAGAAGTCCAATTCTGTTATGGCTCAGATCCAGTCTTCTCATCAGTCTGAAAAGGTTCCCAGGCACCTTAGACAGGTTCTTGTTGGTGCAGCTGACAATGTCAGTGGCACAGATGCAAGCCGTGGGACACATTCCTGAGGCTCCGGGGTTCACCATCACGGTGATGACCAACAAACACAGCAGCTCTCTGCAACCCGGTTTGACAGCTCCAGGCAGGGTGGGCAGTGTGTGGAACCTTAACGACATTATGGTCGCCTCTGAGTCTCTTCCAGTCGCTTCTCACCAGCTCAGCCTCCCACCAATCTGGTAACAATATTTAAAAAGGGAGGAAAGTACAAGTTAACTGCCATTAGTTAACCCCTCAGTTATTCCGTATTCACTTTTGTTCCAATTAACTTTGGAAATGGCTTTCATTTCCAACAAGGAAGCAAAACAGAAAAGAAAGGGGAAAACCTGTTAAATGCTTTTTCCCCCTTAGGTTCCTCCAACTCAGTAAGATTTCCAGGTACCTTCCTCTGTCAATGCAACCGTCTCACTCTGAGAAACTCAGTTTCTAAAAAGGACGCATTCTGCCTTAACTCCCCTCCACCGACACAAAAAAACACACAATCGCATCCCGTAAACAATTGAACGGAAA